ACATGCCACGTCAGCATATAAAGATAGAGTTAACAATTTATTAACGGAGGAAGTTTTTTGTTCCTTGAACAAATAGTTTAGGGGTAAAATTGCCTCACTTAAGAGTATAGGGTGCTCAGTGCTCTTAAAAATAAGCACAGGGGCAAAATTGAATATTAACCCTTAAAATAATGTGCACTGCAAGATATGTTAAGGACACTCTATATGGATAGTCTTTTCATAGAAAAATTATTTTCAATGAACACTTGTTTGCACTAATTTATAGAGTTAGGAAAACGGGCGACCCAACTTTAAAGCTTGGTTTTCAAAATTTTGACCAATTCTTGAGGCCTAACCCTTATTGAAAAGACTCAAGGCCGGGCCTAGAAACTTGGTTTGGCAAAAATAAAAAATTCAACATTATAATTTAATATTTTTGTTTTAGGAAATAATTTAATTCAACATCACAATATTTAAAATTATAATTTAACTTTAAAATTTCACATAAAATAAATCAAGGTCTCATATCATCTAGAAAATAAATAAAGGGTTTAAAAGTCTAAATACATGTTAGAATTCACAATAAAATTACAAAAATAAAATATATGAGGCATATTGATATAATGCTCATAGAATAAGATGAGGAATTAGAATTTCTAAATCAAATTGAAATATTAAAAACTAGCATCAAATTGAAATTTCAAATATCCATGACCTAAAAAAATGTCTGCACTAGGTGAGGAATTACATAAGAGTAAGAGGGCTAAAAGTCAAAGCAATAGAATGCCAAGAGGGAGATGCTGAATCAAGAGATGCTGAGGCAAGGGACAAGATAGAGAGGTGAATCAAGACATGGAGAGAGCTGAAGGTGAGCAAAATGGCAAGACAGTTAAAGAAAAGGAGAAGGCAAGAGGGAAAGGTTGAATTGAGAGATAAAGAGAGTTAAAGGACTTGAAATGGTTGAATGCTTATGGTTTTTTCTTATTTGCCAAACGATATATTATAAGGTAAAAGGGAAAAATAGAATAGGATTTAGAAGGCCACTCAGGCTCAAGCCCTTTTTATTAGGGCTTATCAAGGCTAAGGCCAAGATCAAAAGCTCAATTACCCTAAAAATTTTTCATTTTAAGCCAGAAGTCTTATTTAAATAGAGCTTTTAAGCCCGATCTTCCAAAATCGGTCCTTATTTCTAACACGATTAATTTAGATATGTAATAAATAATAATTTTAAAAATAAAATAATCAGTAATTATTATATAAAATAAGTTAAAATTAAAATTACTATTCAATTACTTTTCTTATTGTTATATGTCCTCTTTTTAAAGAAGTTTTAAATATCTTACACAGTAAAACAATAGCAAGTTATAAAACAAAAAACCCTTAATAAAATAAGAATAATGCGAAGCCAACTCATACGGTAAGCATTAGATGTTGTTGGTAGAGATTTGGTCATTTTTTGCTAAAAAAAAAAGGAGAGATTTGATCATTTGGGCTTCAAATCAAATTTTATATTTTATACTCCTTTTATTTTTTTAAATTTTTACTTTTAAAAAATATTTTTTTATATTTCTCAATAATTAAAAAAGAATTTTACTATTTACCTAGACAAAAAGAAAACTTCTAGCAAAATATCAACCAATGACCACTATAGCATATTTATATCAGTCAATAATCAATAGGTTTTAAAATCTCACTATAGTCCCTTGGTCCTTAATTAATATTAATATTTTGTGAAAGGACCAAATTAACTTGAAATAAAAAAATAATAAAATAAAGCCACCCTTACTGTCACTAACTTTGGTTACTGGATCACTGCAAGCAAGGTTACTGACCCCTTACTATTGGCGAGGTCATCAATGGCCGGTTACTAGAACTTCAGCGTTGGTGACACTTTTATTTTTAAATTGGCAATGGCTAGGAGAGTTTGACCTCATAACTCCTTGGCCACCTAAAAAGTATGGTACCATGCATATTGAATAATATATAGAAAAAAAATTTAGTAACCAAGATTCTAAAACACTTTCATATTATAACATAATGATGTATTGTTAATTCTAGAACGACATTTGTTATTTTATTAATTTTACTTGTTTGGTCAATTACAAATTTGAAGCTTTAAAACTTCATGTATTTTACTTGTTAAAATTTGAATGTATTGTTGTTAATTATAAAATGGTTGTTGTCAAAATGCAGAGGAATATTTGTTGATAAATGATTAATATTTATACAATTAAGCCCATTCTATTAGCTTTTGGTTAAAACTTGAATAAACTGTTGCCAACGTTATGTTGTCTAAGTGTGAGTGGACATAAGGCGATATGAAAAGTCCTACATTAGATAAAGTTAGGCTCAATAACTAATATATAACAAAGAAGAAGGATCTATAAACTTTAGTCTTGAGGTTTTTAGTTAAGATGTGGTGTCTTTCTACTACTCTTGCCCATCCCTCCTCTCCCCTATTATCGGGTGGTCGCTCATCATTCCCAACAAGTGGTATTAGAGCTACGTTTTGCTCTAGACCTGTAAGCTTAGGAACTTGTATGCACCACACCTAAAAAATAGGGACTTGATATTTAGGGCGTCTTTGATATGGAAAGCTTGTGAACTCACACTTGAGTGGGAAATTGTTTAGTAGTCCAAGTAAGTGGACATAAGAGAGTGTGGGAAGTTCTATATTGGATAAATTTAGGTTTAATAACTAATATATAATAAAGAGAAAGGGCTTATAAACTTGAGTCTTGAGATTTTGAATTAAAATGTGACATTCTTCCCCTACTTTTGCTCGTCTTTCCTCCTCCCATTCTCGGGGCGGTTACTTTCCATTTCTAACAAGTGGTTGCTTCTTATTCCTAAAAGTTAATTTTGAATGAGTATAGTTAAAGCTCAAATATATATTTATTGATAAAGGACTAACACTTATACTATTAAGTCTATCCCACCATTTTTCGAACTTGCTAAAACCCAAATAAATTGTTATTAATTTTGAACGGGCTATTGTTAACATTCAAATATATACTTGTTTAGTAGCAAAGCCAAGATCTAAACTCGGGGGTGCAACTTTGATTTATTTAAAAATCTTCATATAAAAATAAAAACTTAATAATTTTTTAAAAAATTACATGCCTGATAATTGTGATTAAATATTTTAAAAATCATGAATAAAAAACAAATAAATGAAAAACTATATTGTTGTGAAAAAGTTGGATTTAGAAATAAATGATTTTAAAAATATAATTTATAATCTAACTTTTCTATAAACTCTCAAAATTGATAAGAGTGGAGGGGGAGGAAATTTATTTAAAGAGTGAAATAATGAGAGAAAATATTAGAATAACCATTGTTAATATATTTTTTTCAAAATGTTTTATATTTTGAGACACTAAATTACTTTAAAAATATCTTATAAAATGGGATGAAATGAGTGATAATGAATGAAAAAAGTGAGCAGGTGTTAATGGTTTTCTCCCTCATAAAAGGTGCAAAATAATTGATCAATGTTCTCATTCTCTATTTATTTCTAGTGAACTATTCAATGGATTTTCATTTGTTCTACTTATATCTTTCATATGTAGGGGGTCAGAATTTTTAAATGAGTGGAACAAAGTGCCAAAACTTCTCATACTTAATTGAAATTTCACTCAACTCAGGAGGTGCATTTGCCTTTTAGAAATACATGTGGCTCCAACACTATACTTGTTAATGAATGACTAATACTTCTACAGTTAAACTCATTATATCCATTTTTTTAACTTGTTAGATCTGAATAAATTATTGTTAATTTTGAATGCATTGTTGTGAAAAATCTGAATGGGTAATTGTTGATGAAGGGCTAACATTTGTATAGTTAAGCTAATCCTATCTGTTTTTCTAACTTGCTAAATATTGAATTAATAGTTATTAATTTCAAATGCATTCACTTAAATGGATACTTGTTGATTAAGAAGTAATACTTGTATAATTAAGCCTATCCTATTTATCTTTTTAAAATTATTAAATCCCAAATGAATTATTGTTAATTTCAAATGTGTTATTGTCAAAACTTAAATAGCTTGTTATTTATACACTTGTTTCATTAGACCTATGCTTTCAATCACCAACAACAAGCATCTATTTGTATTGTGACAACATTTGAAATTAACAATAATTCATTTGGGTTCTAACAAATTAGAAAAATAATTATAATAAATTTAATAGTATAAGTGTTAATCCTTTATCAACAAATATCCATTCAAGATTTAATAACAACTCATTCGAAATTAACAACAATTTATTTGGGTTTTAGAAAAAGCTGATAAGATGGGTTTAATTATATAAGTGTTAGTCATTCATCAACAAGTATCCATTCGCATTTTGATAATAATCATTTCGTGATTAACAACAATATGTTCAAATTTTAACAAGTAAAATGCATGAAGTTTTAAAATTTTAATTTATAATTGATCATGTGAGATTAACAAGTAATATTAATGAAATAACAAGTACCATTCTAAAATTAATAATACACTGTTATGTTATAATGTAAAAGTGGTTTAGAATCTTGGTTGCTACATTTATATATATATATATATATATATATTTTTGATATATATTATTAAAAGGGCTTGGTGGAGCTTTTCATCAAAGAATTATGGGATCAAACTGCCTACCAACTTTGCCAATTAAAAGATAAAAGTATCACTAGTGTCGAAATTTTGGTGACCTCATTGGCAACAAGGGTTTGATGGTTAGCGTCAATAACAATATGAGTAACATTTATTATTATTTTATATTTCAAGACAATTCAATCATTTCACATGAAAAATTTATACTAATTAAGAACCAATAAATTATAGTAAAATTTCAAGATCTATTAATTTTTGATTAATATAAATATGCTATACTGGTCCTTAATTGACATTTTCTCAAAACCGTTTTCTTTTTTTTTTTACCACTATGACAAACTGGGCTGCATTTGAAATGCTAGCCAATCCAATTTGATCAAGAAAATAAGGGAAAAAAAAACAATATTTTTCAGAAAAGGTTTGAACGCAGCATAAGTGCTTGTTCCAGAAGACGTGGGGCTAAAAAAGGATCGGCATATATATCGGCCTCCAAGTCTGCCCATACTCACTTTCTCTTCAATCGATTGGGGTTTTCTTCCAATTTTTCCTCCATTTCAGGTTGCAACATCAACTTGGTCTACTTCTCGCTTTCTGTCGTAATCCCAATTCTTCTTAGTTTTTTATTTTTTATTTTTATTTTTGACTTGATTTGGAGTTGATCAGGGAATTGAAAAGAAAGAAATTTGGTTCTTTATTTTTTATTTTTAAAGTTCCTTGCAAGCTCGGATTGATTCACAAGAGTGATGGTTGCTGACTGCTTTCATAGATTCTGGGATCTGTTGGTTTTCGTTAGTTTCTCTTTCGATGGAGTTGACATTAGAATATCTAGTTTATTTTGTTGAAGTAAGTTTATTGGGTTTAATTCATTGTTTGACCCTTTGTGGTTGCTGATTAATATTTTGTGTTTGCTGGCATTGTATGGCTCGGGACTTAAATTTTTCTCTTGAATGCTTTAAATAGTAGAGGTGATGGGATTTGATATCCAGTCTTAACGGTTGCATTGCCTTTTGTTGTGGTACCTCCTCCAATTTGCCTGCTTTTCCTGTTTCTTTTTCTTCTTCATATTTATCGTCTTATCCGAACAATCTTTATTATTCCTTTTTTTATCTTCATCATCTTTATCATCATTGGTTATTTCACTTCATTTTAGTTCCTTCAATAAATTCTTAGCGCTTTTAATATTGAACTTCTTTGTTCGTTGGTTTGCTCATAATGGGGGAGATAGATGTCTAGCTTATAAAGGCACACTTGACAAGAACAGCCGATAGAACATTGGTAATATTCCTGATCGTGTGGACTGAGCCATGGCATGGTTTAGAGCTGGTTCCGGCATGGTAAAGCATGCAATCAGGAGAACTCTTTCTCAGGGTGGATCATCATATTATGCAACAAGGACCAGAGTCCTTCCATCACAACATCGACAGTTTCACACGACAGTTTTCAAATCAAAAGCGCAAAGTGCACCAGTGCCTCGTGCTGTTCCACTCTCTAGGTTGACTGACAGCTTCTTAGATGGGACAAGCAGCGTCTACTTAGAGGAGCTTCAAAGAGCTTGGGAAGCTGACCCAAACAGTGTTGATGAGTCTTGGGACAATTTCTTCAGGAACTTTGTTGGTCAGGCTGCAACCTCCCCTGGAATTTCTGGCCAAACAATTCAGGAGAGTATGCGTTTGCTTTTACTGGTAAGAGCATACCAGGTTAATGGCCACATGAAAGCCAAAATAGACCCTTTGGGCTTGGAAAAACCAGAAATCCCTGATGAATTAGACCCTGCCCTTTATGGCTTCACTGAAGCTGATCTTGATAGGGAATTCTTTTTGGGGTCTGGAGGATGTCTGGATTCTTGTCTGAGAATCGTCCAGTGCAAACCCTTAGATCCATTTTAACACGCCTTGAGCAAGCTTACTGTGGAAGCATAGGGTATGAGTACATGCACATTGCAGACCGGGAGAAATGTAACTGGCTTAGAGACAAGATTGAAACCCCTGCACCTACACAGCTGAATCGGGAACGTCGTGAGGTTATTCTTGACAGACTTGCTTGGAGTACACTCTTTGAGAACTTCTTGGCCACCAAGTGGACATCAGCAAAGAGATTTGGGCTTGAAGGGGGAGAAACTCTTATTCCGGGCATGAAAGAAATGATTGATCGGGCTGCAGATCTTGGGGTGGAGAGCATGGTTATGGGAATGGCACATAGGGCGAGATTGAATGTTTTGGGTAATGTAGTTCGCAAGCCACTACGTCAGATTTTTAGTGAGTTTAGTGGTCAGACTCAGGATGAAGTTGGGCTCTACACTGGAACTGGTGACGTTAAATATCACTTGGGGACTTCTTACGATCGCCCAACTAGGGGTGCAAAGAGGATACATTTATCTTTGGTTGCAAATCCTAGTCACTTGGAAGCAGTGAATCCAGTTGTCATTGGGAAAACTAGAGCAAAACAGTATTACTCAAATGATGTGGACAGAACCAAAAACATGGGTGTTTTGATTCATGGAGATGGTAGCTTTGCTGGACAAGGTGTAGTCTATGAAACATTGCATCTTAGTGCTCTTCCAAATTATACGACTGGTGGGACTATACACATTGTTATCAACAATCAAGTTGCATTTACAACTGATCCAAGATCTGGCAGGTCTTCACAGTATTGCACTGATGTTGCCAAAGCTTTAGATGCTCCCATCTTCCATGTAAATGGTGATGATGTGGAAGCAGTTGTTCATGCCTTTGAACTTGCAGCTGAGTGGCGCCAGGCTTTCCATTCAGATGTGGTTGTTGATTTAGTATGCTACCGTCGATTTGGACATAATGAGATTGATGAACCATCCTTCACACAGCCTCAAATGTACAAGGTTAGCCTTCTTATAATATGTTTCCTTCTGTTATAATACATTGTTTTTAGTTAAGTTAATTAAATTTTAGTTTTTTGAGCTGTAGGTCATCCGGAATCATCCATCAACTCTTCAGATCTATCAGAAGAAGCTTTTGGAATTGGGAGAGGTGACACAGGATGATATTGATAAGATACACAAGAAGATCACTTCAATTCTGAATGAAGAATTTTTGGCAAGCAAAGATTATGTTCCGAAAAGAAGAGATTGGCTTTCAGCTTATTGGTCTGGTTTCAAGTCACCTGAACAACTTTCACGTATTCGGAACACTGGGTATGAATGTCGCAAACATAGTGTTAGTTTTGCTTCATTGCTTGTCGGCATTCTAGTATTTTTTAGAGCACTGCTGAAATATATGATCTTCTTGATGCAGTGTGAAACCAGAGATCTTGAAAAATGTCGGGAAAGCAATCACAGTCTTACCTGAAAATTTCACTCCTCATAGAGCAGTGAAGAAGATTTATGAACAACGTGCCCAAATGGTGGAAACTGGTGAGGGTATTGACTGGGGATTTGCAGAGGCACTTGCTTTCGCTACTTTGGTTGTTGAAGGTAATCATGTTCGCTTGAGTGGCCAAGATGTTGAAAGAGGAACATTCAGTCACCGCCATGCTGTACTTCATGATCAGGAAACTGGGCAGATATATTGCCCCCTGGATCATGTTATAATGAACCAAAATGAGGAGATGTTTACTGTTAGCAACAGGTAATCTATATTTTATGTTTAAATTTTGATCACTAATGAACCAAAATGAGATGTTTACTGTTAGCAACAGTAATCTGTGTTTTATGTTTAAATTTTGATCCCTGGTTAACTATTATATCAGGCTAGCATATTTCTTTCCTATTACTAGTTTGTTGTTGCCATACAGTAGGTTAGTGTCTATTATACTTCATTATAAATGTAACGGCCGCTAATCACTCCATAATCCATATGAAGAATTAGTGATAATATCAAGTTCAAAAAAATCTTTGTTGCATGAATTATAGTTAAGAAATTCATGAGTAGTCAACTGTGCATGTGAGGAAGGTGTATCTATTTGAACATGATCTAGATCACTGAATAATTTCTGATAAATATATCGGGTTGCATTTGTTTCATCTTGTAGTATTTTTTGGGTTCATGTTACTTATTATTGTTAAATTGTGGCTTGTGACACTATTTGGGCATTTTTTATTTGGTTCTTTTTGCTATTGAGAATTTTACAGAAGGTTAAAATTTTGAATAATGACCAAGCAAGTGTTAAAAATAATTCTTGGGTCATGTCACTAAGAAATTGGAGTATCAGATTATCTATATAACTATAAACCCAGTCCATTTCAAAAACAAGATGCCAGACTAATTTTTTCAAATGGAACTACTGTTGATTTTGCTTTCCTATATGTGCATACCATATAGTGAAAGAAATTAATTTTAACTACGTTACTTTTCTTTATGTGATATTATTATTTTATTCCTGTCACCGAGAATTTTCTTCACACCAAATTTGGCTTGGTATCTTTATTTTTCAGAAGGTGAGAGCACAAAGGTGAATTTGGCATAAAGAATTTTCTTTTTCTGAATTATTTAAAATTTCCAAACTTGATGCGAATATATATAGGCTTTTCTCAGATGCTAAAACTTCTAGCTTCTATAGACTTTTTTATGGGGTTTACTTTTCTGCATTAAAACAATTTTAAATGGGCTATCATATGCAGCTCTCTTTCTGAGTTTGGTGTCCTCGGATTTGAAGTGGGTTACTCAATGGAAAATCCTAATTCGTTAGTAATCTGGGAGGCTCAATTTGGTGACTTTGCTAATGGGGCTCAAGTGATATTTGACAATTTCGTGAGTTCTGGTGAGGCTAAGTGGCTTCGTCAGACTGGGCTCGTTGTGCTTCTTCCTCATGGTTACGACGGTCAGGGTCCTGAGCATTCAAGTGGCAGAATGGAACGCTATCTTCAGGTACCGTGTTGTGAATTATCTATTTTTAGCTTCTTAATACCACTTTTACGCATCTGGTCCTTATGCTTGATCCTTTTTTCTGACTTTGGATAGTCAGTTGTCTTACTCGTGCCCATCTGTTGGTTAGTTGGTATATGAAGATAAAAGGTGAGGAAATGGAGGTTATCTGAGTTGTATATGCACAATACTACTCTGTCATTTGATATAAATTGAGCCAAAGTAGTCCTTCATGTTGTAAATTTTTTTGTTGACGTATTCTTTCATTTCAGATTTTTCTAATCAATACGCTTATTCCTGCTATTATTAATTGACGATTGTAACAGGTAATTATACTTTTAAGACTTGAGTGTTTAGGTTATTGCAAAGGGTAATGTTAGAAAGGGTAAAGAAGCGAGAAGCAGTGTTTGTCAACTAACTTGGGGAATAGGATTTTTGAACTTTTGTTATAAATGCAAATTAACTTCAATTCCTTTTTATAAGTTGACCAAATTTTTAGGTCCATTTGGTTACAACTCAAGAAAGGTAATCCCTTTCTAGCTCATAAAAATTGAGATGTGAAATATTTATTATATGAAATATTTATTATATCCTTATAATCATTACTTAATGACAACTATTTCTTTTTTATTATTAATTTTTATCCTGGGACATACATGATGTTTCACGTCTAAAAGTTCTCTTTTTTCATTCCATTCCCTTCCATAAGCCAAACAAGACAGTCTGCTGCATGTGCCCTCTCTGTTCACCTGGATTTGCTGTTTAATTAACACATATTAACTAACTCACTGGTAGATGGCTGATGACAATCCTTATGTTATTCCTGAGATGGATCCAACCCTTCGTAAACAAATTCAGGAGTGTAATTGGCAGATTGTGAATGTCACTACTCCTGCCAATTTCTTCCATGTTCTGCGGCGGCAGGTTGGTGCAATGTAACTGATTGAATCATGAATGTTATTGTTTCTTCTGGCTAGTTTCTTCATTTGCTTATACTTTTCTACTGTCTCTTGCAGATACACAGAGAATTCCGTAAACCTCTCATTGTAATGTCTCCTAAGAACCTGCTTCGTCATAAGGATTGCAAATCAAATTTATCTGAGTTCGATGATGTCCAAGGCCACCCAGGTTTTGACAAACAGGGAACAAGATTTAAGCGCCTCATCAAAGACCAGAATGACCACTCAAACCTGGAGGAGGGTATTAGGCGTCTGGTCCTCTGTTCTGGAAAGGTTTGTTGGTCATGATTGGGACTCGCTGTCCTTGTATTTCTGCCATACACTTGGTTTTATATGAACTACATCTGGTGGTTTACATTTATACCCCGTATCCAATTTTGTTCCTCACCTGTAGTTTACAACCATCCATATCTTATTTCCATTGCAGGTTTACTATGAACTTGATGATGAACGAAAGAAGGTAGATGCAAAAGATGTTGCAATTTGTAGAGTGGAACAACTTTGTCCTTTCCCTTACGACCTTGTTCAGAGAGAGCTTAAACGATATCCAAGTAAGAGATATTTTTCAGCTTCTCTTTTGTTATGAATCCTTATTACGCTGCTTATCATCGAAAGTCAAAAGGACACTTATATTTTTGCATCATTATTTTTTTGTTTCATCTTTAATTCATGCTGCTAGATGCTGAGATCGTTTGGTGCCAAGAAGAGCCAATGAACATGGGTGGATATACTTACATTTTGCCACGACTTATAACCGCCATGAAGGCTGTTGGAAGGGGAGGGTATGATGATGTTAAATATGTCGGTCGAGCTCCATCTGCAGCCACAGCTACTGGTTTCTACAAGGTTCATCTGAAGGAGCAGGCTGAGCTTGTTCAGAAAGCCATTCAACCCGAACCACTCAGCTTCCCTTACTGAAAGTGAAAAGGCTTCAAGGATGCATCACCATTGAATAGCACTTGGACGATGCTTCATCACACTATTTGGAAGGTGGCCTCTGTCTCTCAATGTTTGCATAGTTCACACGATTCTGTGCTGCGCTACTTTTGACAAAAAATTGGGATCAGCTTATTTTCGTGATAGTATACTTACTTTGCGGGTACTAGTTCTGGAAAATCAAAAATGGGCAGGCTTGCTGCCTTGTAAGTTGAAGATTCTGATGAAACTTCGGATTTTTTTTTTGATAAACAAAATCATATATAGTTCGCAAATGCATCATCTTGAAGAGTTTTTGTGAGTTGTGAATTGTGATGTTTGGAGGCATTGCTTGGTAGAAGAGCCTCTGGAACTTGTCTCCAATAAATGAAATTAATTACTTGTCAATTCTTGTTTACTATTATTTGTATGGCCTTTGGAGCTTCGTCAACATTCTTTCCAACAAACGGAAGTAATTTATTGTCGGCCTCTTAAGATTAAAGTCTACGCTTTTTTAATTTTTGTAGGTATTCTATCAGAACACATGTTTTGACTATTTAAGTAATTAATTACAGTCTGCTTAATTATCTTAAAGAAAGAAGTAATCAACAAATGAATCCAAGGGTGTGACCCCAAAACAAGATTACAAGATATAGAAAGATAAGTGTAGGGACATTATTCAATAATTGAACCAACGCTTCATTTCGATTGTCATTATAAAACTACCCAACTCAATTGCCTGCATGAATTTGTTGACCACGACCCTTTTGTCTGTCTTTCTCTTCTCTTAGAGGCTCCATTTTCAATTCATCCCAATTGTGCCTTTAGATTCCAATCCTTCACAATGATAAATGTCAAGATGATACATGATGGCCTTGATTCTTGGTCTGTAAATGTGGAAGGTTTTCTACTTTTACTTATTTATTTATCGTAACTAGCAACATTATTTATCTAAGAAAAGAATGAATCTTCCTGAATTGTGAGAAATAAATAGATAAAGCTCGCAAATTATATAATTTTAAGAAAATTTAGCAAAAGAGGAAGAGTCATTCTTTTATAAAGAGTGTTCAAAAATTGTGACAAAAAAAATAAAAAAATAAAACTAGAGTGAAAAATTCGTCCAAGAAAAAGAAAGAATAGTTTGAACAAAACTCTTGACTTAAACATGAAGCGGGAGTAGATATTTTGAATATTTAAAATAAGGTCGAAATACTAATGCAGTAGAGATTAGAGCGTGATATTAAGATATTGATATGACAAATACTTTTGTGGAGTCTGAGTACTTACAGGATTGAAAGCCATTGCGCATGAAGGCTCCATGGCAAGTGGGAACACTTTATTCACATTAAGACGTATGTACTCTTAAAATTTATGCGTGAAGCTCAGTGCAACAGACATAAGTGTCCATGTCAGACAGACTACTTTTTTTTTTTTTTGAGCAAAATGTCAGACAGACTACTTAAAATGGGCATTCAAACAACAAGAGAAGCACTTGTCACTGTAATGTCAAAATTGGTATGGTTATTAAATCAATCAAAATATTAATTTAAAAGTTGATTGTTAAAATTGTAATTGAATTGTGATTAGATCAATCATAAATGAAGCATTTCATTGAACCAGTTAAGTAATTAATTTAACGATTTACTGACTTAATTAATAGAATTGACTCAATTTTATCTATTTACACCACCACCATTCAAGCCCAAAATTGCAACTCATCACAATCCTACATTACTTGCTAAACTCCCTTTTCTTCCAATATCTTTGAAATTAAATTTAATATTATATGTATAGAGCTAATAAGCTATGCGACTCCTTACTAAATTGATAAATTTGTTATGCTTCTCATAGGCACAAGATATTGAAAGTAGAGAATGAGAAAAGATCAAATTCAATCTTTTTGCAGCTATTTCAAGTGATAAGAGTAGAATGCAGTAGTGGTTAGGGATTGATTCCCCCCCTCCCCCCTAATATTTAAAGATTAAGTGGAATCCATCAATAATGTGGGAAAAGATATTTAAAGCGATGCATATGATATAGACATTTGGCCTATCTATCACCAACTTGAACTTTTGGAATCTATGGAAGGGTCAGAGAATTTAAATTTCTTTGATACACTTAAAAAAAATGTTACAATTATTTTTTCCCCTATCGTCTGCTTGCTGTGCTGTGCTTTTCCTCTCATGATTTATGGAAATCTACTGTCTAGTAGAGAAACACCGGCAGAAGACTATTTTTAATTATATAATGAAATGTTAGCATATATATATATATGTATTCATAATTTAATTGGTCATTTTAATTATAGTAATTTATATTTAAACTGCAATGCAACATAATTACATAATTTTAAAGACCATAACAATTTATATTATCTTGACAATGTTTAATTTTTTTGTTGTGTGATTTATTATTAATCTTAATTAACAGTTAGTTCTGATAGATTTTAAAGCTGTAATCTGTGGCATCAACTTGGGTATTTAAAATTATAAATTGGTTAATGCTTTTCACAAATCTCTAACCCAAATTAAGAGATGCCACCATCATTGTCCAAAGAAAATATATTCAAATAGACAAAAGTCAATCTCCATAACCATATGTGTGACTTTCCAAATCAGGCAAAGTTGAAGCTTATCAACTTCTGGATTAGTCCCTTGATCTTTTGCCAAAATGACCCAAAAAAGAATCAGTCAAATGATTAGGACCACACGGCACTTGCTTCTTTTATGTCATTAACCCCACTGCCTCCTCTTTCACTTCTTCAAGCATCTTCTCTACACACATCCATTTCTGCTTCATCTAGCTTCGACCTTCAGGTATATAAATAAAGCTTTTGCTTGCTTTCTTTTATAGTTTCAACTTTCCTTTTCAGGGCTAGAACTCATTTAATCTATCTGGTTTAGTTTGTTCTGTGACTGAAAGCTAGCTATGGCATCATGGGTTAGAGCTGCTTCAAGCATATCAAAACTTGGTCCTCCCAGAAGGAGACTTCTTTCATTACAGACCAGAAAGTTTCACACCACAAACTTCAACCAGAAGGCAGCACAGCAAGCTTCAGCTTCAGTGCCTCTTTCAAAGCTCACAGATAGCTTCTTATATGGCACAGGCAGTGCCTATTTAGAAGAGCTTCAAAGATCCTGGGAATCTGACCCTAAAAGTGTGGATGGTTCCTGGGACATCTTCTTCACAAACTACCTTGGCCAGAAAAAATCCATCATTTCTTCTGAAATCTCAACCCAGACAATCCAAGACAGTATGAGTCTAATGCTGTTAATAAGAGCCTACCAAGTGAATGGTCACTTAAAGGCCAAGCTTGACCCTTTAGGATTGGCTGAGAGAGACATACCCACAGAGTTAGATCCTTCATATTATGGGTTTTCTGAGAATGATTTGGACAGAGAGTTTTATGTGGGGGTGTGGAAGAACATTGATGGGTTTTTAGCAGAGAACCGACCGGTTCAGACACTGAGGGAGATAGTGAGGAGGCTTGAGGAGGTTTATTGTGGGAGCATAGGGTATGAGTATATGCACATTAGTGATTATGAGAAAGTGAAGTGGCTGAGAGACCGGATTGAGACACAACAAGCTGAGAAAGTTGAATTGGATCACCATCACAGGCTTGTGCTTCTAGACAGGATTGCTTGGAGCTTGATGTTTGAGATTTTCTTGGGCACCAAGTGGTCTTCTGCCAAGAGGTTTTCATTTAATTGCTTCTCTCCTCTTTATCAAGTCATGTTATTTTTACTTTGGAATTTTTAATAGTTATTTTTTAAGTTTTTGAATTGCTTTATTATATATATATATATAAACGAACTTTGGCATGTTAATTATTTTCTATTTTCCTTTTGTTGATGAGAATGATAGTTATTTACTGTTTAATGCCACAAGTTATCAAGTCATAGCTCTGTTTATGGATGTATGCCCCTTTTCCCCTATCTTTTTTTGTGTTCTCTACATTACTAGACTTTTTTGTACATAGCATATAATTTTTAAATCATCAATATCAATACATACATACATACATATATATATATATATATAATACAAAACTGTACCCCAAAAAAAAAACAAAAACAAAAAGGTCTGTTTTTTTAGCCCTTGTACATTTGTCCTCTGCATTACTCAAGTAATGCAATGATGAATCTAGGGGAAAGCAAGCTTTAAGTGACCAAATAGGATTATAATTTAACCTGATAAATCCTACATTTGAGTTGATTAAAGGCATGATTGTGGATGGTGTTCTTTTGGTTCTGAATTAGGTTTGGGCTGGAAGGAGCAGAAACTCTGATTCCAGGCGTGCAAGAAGTGATCGACAGAGCAGCAGATTTTGGAGCAGAGAGCGTAGTTCTGGGCACAACCCACAGAGGAAGAGTCAATGTCTTAGGCACAGTCGTCAAATTGCCTCTCAGAAGAATCTTCTGTGAGTTCAATGGCACTCTAAACTCCCCCGATGTCACACAATTTACCGGCACTGGCGACGTCAAGCACCACATCGGTGCCTCCTACGACCACACCACCATTAATGGCAGAAAAGTCCACATCTCCATCCCTCCAAACCCTAGCCACTTAGAAGCAGTAAACCCAGTAGTCGCAGGAAAAACCAGAGCCAAACAATATTACTCAAATGACACAACCAGAACAAAAAACATGAGCATTTTGATTCATGGAGATGGAAGCTTGCCTGGACAAGGTGTGGCTTATGAGAATCTGCACTTGAGTGCTCTTCCTAATTACTGTACTGGCGGGACTGTGCACCTTGTGTTGAACAACCAGGTTGCCTTCACCACCGATCCTGTTTCTGGAAGGTCTTCTGAGTATTGTACTGATATTGCTAAGGCGTTTAATGCTCCTGTGTTTCATGTTAATGGCGATGACATGGAAGCTGTTTCTCGTGTTTGTCGTCTCGCCGCCGAGTGGCGCCAGACTTTCCATTTGGATGCGGTGGTCGACGTCGTCTGTTACCGGAGATTCGGTCATAATGAAATTGATGAACCCTTCTTCACGCAGCCCATGTTGTACAAGGTTCAGTCACTCATTATTCATTATTCATCACAAGAAATTTTAAAAGATTTAGTGACAACTTCAAACTATAGGGTAGGAAAGTTGACGTGTGAAAATATGAAAATAGTTGATAAGTTCAATGAATGCAAGCAGGTGATAAAGAATCAACCAACTGCTCTTGAGATATATGAGAAGAAACTTCTTAACTTGGGCGTAGTGGAAAAGGAAGAGATTGATGTTCTATACAGTAAGATTAATACAACTCTTAATGGAGAATTTTTGGCTAGCAAAGATCATGTTCCAGATCGAAGGGACTGGCTTTCAGCTAATTGGAGTGGAATCAAGTCACCTGATCAACTTTCTCCTATTAGAAACACAGGGTCTGTTTGCTTCTTGCCTACTTTAGAAACTTTGAATTTTTGAGTAAACTTGCAATTTTATCTTCGAAGTGTGGCAAACACAAATTATTTGGTGAAAGTAAGAAACTTGTTACACATCAGTCTTTCTTCTTGTCAAAAGACTAACGTATAACAAGTTTGCTTTTTTTTTTTTTTTTTTAATTTGTGTACTCCTTGAAGAACAAGAACTAAATAAGCTTTTTAAAGTCTAATATGAGGTGGGAATGATAAAACATCAGCGTAAAACCAGAGATGTTGAAGGAAGTAGGCAGGTCAATTACAAGAATTCCAGAAAGTTTCACCTCTCACAAAGCAGTGAAGAAATTTTATGAACAACGAGCGCAAATGGTTGAAACAAGAGAAGGAATAGACTGGGGATTCGCAGAAGCACTTGCTTTTGCCACACTGATAGCAGAAGGTCACCATATTCGTCTGAGTGGTCAGGATGTTGAAAGAGGCACATTCAGTCATCGCCATTCCATAATTCATGATCAACAAACTGGTCAGAAGTATTGCCCCCTTGACCACGTTGTCCCACACCAGAGACAAGAATCTTTCATTGCTACTAATAGGTAATCCATTTTTTAACAGTTCATATTCACTGAGACAGTAAAATAGAGCTTGTTTGGAAACCTGTTTTTGGAATAATTTTTTGTTCTCCAGAATAAGAGAATAAAATAAAAAATCTGTTTGGTAACGTGTTTTCAAAAAGTGTTTTGAAAAATAAAAAAACAAAATATTGTTTTGGAGAACAAAAAAATGAAAACAACTTTTAGGTGCTCTGGGATTATTGTTCTGAAAATAAGGGAAAATGTGAAAAATACATATTTTTCATTATTTTTTTGTTCTCAGAACATGTTCCATAAAAATATCAGTTCTTAGAACAATGAAATAAAAATAGTTTCAAACAGCTCCATAATATCATAATTTGCATGACTAATAAGTTATTTGTGTGCAGTCTGCTTTCAGAGTTTGGTGTGATGGGATTTGAATTGGGATATTCAATGGAAAGCCCTAATAGTTTGGTGATGTGGGAAGCTCAGTTTGGGGATTTTGCAAATGGGGGTCAAGTCATAATTGATAATTTTCTGAGCTCAATGGAGGCAAAGTGGCTACGCCAAACAGGTCTTGTTCTCTTGCTTCCTCATGGTTATGATGGTCAGGGTCCTGAGCATTCCAGTGCTAGATTGGAACGCTTTCTTCAGGTAAATAACAATGCTTTTCTTCACATCGTTTAATTTTAGACTGAATAAATTGCTCTCTTTTGAGTGCACTTTTACACAATGGTTTTCTTATCAACAAAGTTAAACCAATTAAACTAAAGTTGAAAAATTCTATGACAGATGAGCAATGAGAATCCATTTGTTATACCTGAGATGGATCCAAATGTGAGGAAGCAGATTCAGGAATGCAATTGGCAGGTGGTCAATGTCACAACTCCTGCTAATTACTTTCACGTTCTAAGGCGCCAGGTACTCTCAATGACCCTACACATACAAACAAGAGACTTGTTTTGAAATTAAGGATCTTTGATATGCTCAAGTGTTGGTGGTGTTAATTTTTAAGATCCATAGGGAATTCAGGAAGCCTCTGATTGTTATGTCTCCTAAGTATCTTCTTCGTCACAAAGAATGCAAATCAAACTTGTGTGAGTTTGAAGAGGGCACCAGATTTAAGCGCCTGATAAGGGATCAGAATAACCACTCTGACCTTCACAAGGATATTAGACGTCTCATTCTTTGCTCTGGAAAGGTGCTGCCTTCTCTTCTTTCTCAGTTTCATTTCTTCTTCATCATCTTCCAAGAAACACGTTTCATATTCAACATCAAACAGTCAAATCCCTTCTTAGCTCATTCAGTTTACATCAATGTTTTTGTTTAGTGATCTTCTGAATTCAGATATCTCAAGATTAACATGCAAGAAAGTTTTTACTTCTTTTTATCTGTTTGGCAGGTGTAGTACGATCTTAATGAAGAGAGGAGAAAGATAAATAGAAATGACATTGCAATTTGCAGAGTGGAGCAACTTTGTCCCTTCCCATACGATCTCATTCAGCATGAATTGAAACGATATCCAGGTATGTCACCTTGCCCAAGAAAACGTTCTTGCTTATTTACCATTTCATTAAAATTCAAATTCAAAACTCAAACTCTCGTAGCCATTCAATTTCTAGTTTGGAAGATATCAACGAAGAGTTCAACAATACAAACACGAAACATTCATATGCATATCTTAAAACTAGGGCAGTAATATGAGATTGGAAGCACTGGAAGAACAGTAAAGCTTTTGAATGGAGGGAAAAGTGGAGAGAAAACTAGGAGGAAAAATTTCCAAAAATAATAAAAAAAATTTACTAGTTTTAGAAGTTTTCCCTCCTATTTTTCCTTCCACCCTATTTATCTCCTCGTCCAAACGAATGGTAAGTGTTTCCGAAACAGAAGAGAAAAGGTAACAAGAAAGAAGAAACACGTAATCAGAAGATCAGTGCGAAATCCTAGGTTATGAACTAACTCGCATTGTGTTCTTGTCGTTCTGTGCTACGATGTTTTAAAATAGATGCTGAGATAGTGTGGTGCCAAGAAGAGCCTATGAACATGGGAGCATCTTACTACATGTTACCTCGGCTATGGAGTTGCATGAAGGCATTGGGAAGAGGAAATATGGAAGACATTAAATATTTGGGGAGGGCCCCATCTGCAGCCACAGCTTCTGGGTTCTATAAGATTCATCAAATGCAGCAGTCTGAGATTCTTCACAAAGCATTCCATTCCCAACCAATCGACTGTCCCCTCTGATCCACCACCTTCCCCCCCCCCCCCCCAAAGAACGAAACAAACCCAGTATCTATTGGTGTGTCTATGATCTGCGACCAAATATGCCTTGCATGAATCATGTATTATTAGTGTGGGTATAAACTCTAATCATGTATTATACCTTAGATTCTTTTATTGACTTGCTTTTAAATTTTATTTGAACAATTTTTTAGATGATTTAAAGATGTATTGTTTCAATTCATAGTAATATAGTTAAATTTTTATATTTTGAATTTGAACAATGCACATAATCAGCAATGCTGTACACAAAATTCTTTGAATTTGTAAAAACCATTGGCAGCCAAAGCAACTTTTGGTTGACTAATGCCTTCTGTTTCTTGTTGATGACAAGATCTCATTGACAACAAAACTTGGCCCCATAATCTATCAGAAGTTCAGAACCATCAAATAGGTCTTAATAATGAAAAAGTTCAATGATAGGGAATTAAACTTGATCGTATGACTAAATTAAATGGAAATAATAGAACTTTCTAAAAAGCTTAAATCTCAATAAATGGAATTGCATGTCGTAAATTATTAGGAGTTCAGTAATTAATCCTAATATTGTCATTTTGTAAAGAAATAGACAACACTTCTTACTTGGCATTTGTTCTCTCTATAAAAGGGCTGGTGTATGAACAAAATAATGATAATAAGTAAAAAATCTTCGTGCCGCTAATCCACGTAGGATTATCCCAAAGTAGTAAAACTTATGGTCATCATATTAGTCTCATTACGTAAATCATTTATGATTAACAGGTTTTTTACTTGCTAGACTTGTATGCGACTAATCATTACGTAAACGCACTCTAGAATCTAGAGTTGGTGATCAGATATAATATGAAATACAACAACAACAATAACAAGCCTTTATCCCACTAGGTGGGGTCGGCTACATGGATTGCAAGACGTCATTGTGCTCTATCATTTATCAAACTTTTAGGAATATTATTAATTAAGAGATCGCGTTCAACAACTTCCAAGAGTGTTCTCTTAAGCCTTCCAAGATATAATATGGAATAAGATGGCTTAATGACATAAGTTTCATCTGAACCAACCTTAATATATCAGTTGCGTTTAGAGAAAATGCATTGAGGCACCACCATTTCACTATGAGCATGTTCTCTTAATGCCTACTTAGTCATCAGGATAAAAGTTCTTCCTTATACTGCTTCCAAAGTGTTTTCTTCAAGGACTTTAATTTCCGGTATTGATAACACAAGGTATCAATTCACATATATCTATCAGAACCTCTATCTATAAAACTCCCATGAGGCAAAAACGCAACAGCTGCAAAGAGTAATATGTCACATGGCTTCCTTGGCTCAACTGATCAAATGGGCATGGCCTTATTTGGTTTCAATTTTGTTACAACTTGGCTATGCAGGCATCTCCATTATGGCCAAATTTGCTCAAGGATTGAGCCAGCATGTTTTAGTCGTATATCGTCATGCCCTTGCATTTCTTGTGATTTCTCCTTTCGCATCTTTCTGCTATTGGTCTCCCACTGATCTCTATATTTCTGTCTGAGTTCTGTGTTCATTATTCACCTTATGTTTTACTAATGAAAATAACTGCTGCTGCTTTGACAGAAATCCGAGGCCTAAAATTGACATTTTCTGCGTTAGTTAAGATCATGGTGCTTGCATTGTTAGAGTAATTAAGGGTGCCCCACTTTGTCTCCTTTGCATTCTAATAGAATGTTGACCAACATTTTCTGAGTTTTGTTTTCTTGGTTTCCAAACTGGCCTGTCATAAATCAAAACCTGTACTTTACTGGGATGAAGCTCACTACTGCGACATACACTTCCACTTTTTTTAATGTTGTTCCCGCTTTTGCATTTCTATCGGCTTGGACTTTTTTGAATAAACAAGGATATATCTATATATAATTAAATTGTAGAAACAATGCAATCAAGCGTAAACACGAGAATATAGCTACATCCCAAACAAATCAATTCACCCTTTCATCATTCACCACTTTATAACAACAAGGTGGAGGATGATCAAAAGCCCAAAAAGAGGACCCTAAACTATAAGAAAAAGTAGCTAAGATATTCACTGCCTCATTAGCCTCTCTAAAAGTGAAAGTAAAAACTAAAGCCCAATCTCTGTTAACAAACTCTCTAACTTCCAGAATATCTTCCCGAAGAGGATGGTCAATAATGGAATATTTAAGAATCAAATTGAGAGCTTTGATGCAGTCACTAGTAGCTTCAACTTGTTTATGGCCAAGATTCTAACAAATTTCCAACCCTTGGTTATTCCTTTGATTTTTGCAATGGCAAGTGGGGAAGGATCCAAATGGGCACCGAATCCCACAATCCATTTACCTTCAACATCCTTAATTACTCACCCACAAGCACTCCTCCTATCTACTAGTACAGAGGCATCAGTATTAAGCTTAATAAAACCATTAATGGGAGGAACCCACTTGGTTGAGATATTCCTTCTGCTAAGATTGAGAGAGTAAGAGTGAAGCAACATTGGATCCATGGCAGCTTTGAAAACATTATTCAAAGACAACATATTGTCAGTAACATCTTTAGAGCCAAAAAGCCTGTTACATCTAGTAGTCCAAATATCCCATCAAATGTAACCAAAGAGGATGTTCCAAGGGACTTTCCTAGTGTTTTGATTACCTATTTCATTGTTCAAGTTCCATTTCAACCAATCACAGCCTTCAAGGGAGAAGAATTGCTCCTACTTATCCCATTGAACTACTTTACATCTATCTCGAGCTAAATTACAGTCCCTAATGAGGTGCATCATGTTTTCCTCCTCCAAGCATCCTAATAGGCAAGCACTTGAGTTTTGTGAACCATGTTCTACTCTGAGTGCAGCTGTATGAACTCTATTATGAGTCATAACCTTTTCCAAAGGTCATCATTCTCCTCGATGGTACTTACAAAAAGAAAGTTATATGCAGATTTAATGGAAAAGGTACCGTAATTAGAAGGTAGCCAAGTGTATTTATTATCTCCTCTCATCTCACTAGGGACTCAAGTGTGAGTTATCAAATCAATCACAGGCTTAGGCAACCAACAATGCATCCTCTCAATATCCCAAGTTCCATTTTCATGAATGTAATCTGCCACTATCTCCTTTTCGTCATATATACCACTCCCTTCCTTTATTACTTCATTCAAGGGATGCTCAAGTAATCCCTATTTTTCTCTCCAAAAAAAGAGTATTCTTGCCACTAACTAGGATTTTCCCCAAACCTTGTCTAAAATTTGGCCAAACATTTGCAATAGCTCTCCAAGTTAAAGACATATTAGTCTTCTTAATGGACTCAGGGAAATCACACAAATTGCATTTATATTTAGAGATAAGCACATCAGCCCACAAATAATCCTTTTAGTTAATTAAGTACTAACATAGCTTCATGACCTAGGCCTTGTTTTGCAATCTTGGATCTTTCAACCCCAGAACTGTTCCTACTTTCCTTTGGTCACTACTTTCCAAGAAACCAAGTATAATTTCCTTTCGGCCTCAATACTAACCCAAAGGAACTTTCGGCACAAACAATTCAAATTATTTAACAGTTTTATAGTTTGCATAAAGTAGAAAGGTAAGGTAGCTAAAACTAATTGAATAAGAACAGCTCTTCCCACTTGAGTGAGCAGTTTCCCTTTCCAATTAGTAAGTCTTCCTTTGGCTTTCTCCAAGATAGAAACAAAAGTTGAGTAAGACGCCCTCTTATGGATAAGAGGGATGCCTAGATATTTAGCAAGATCACCAGTGAAACTTACCCCAAGTTGTTGGCTCAGATCAAAAGCTCTATTAAAATTCACATTGGCTGAACAACAGATCAAAGTCTTATTGTGATTCATTCTTTGACTCGAGGCTTCACAAAATTGTTCAACACAAGTATTAATGACTTTAATCCAATCCTTAGAAGCCTCCCTAAATAGAATGAGGTCATCAACAAAGAAAAGATGTGAAATCAAAAGACCATCTCTGTGTAACTTAATAGGCTGCCAATTACTAAGATTAATTTCATCTTCTATAAGGTGGCTCAACTTCTTCATGCACAAAGTGAAAATATAGGGTGAGATGGGATGATATACTATGACTCTATACACTGTATTTAGGCTTGAGAAGGTTGACGTTAGGAGAGTGAATAGCCAGGCAAAGATGTTGGAAACTGCAGTAACTGTAGGAGGAGCAATGATGATGACTCTTGTGAAAGGATCAGTGCTGACTTTGCCTTGGACATAAGTCATCTCATCAGACTAAGAGACCTATCAAAGTGCTTTAAATGATCATAATCTCATTATGGTTCTCCAATGATAGCAACAGGCTGTGTCTGTTGGACTGTTTTCATCACTCTTCAAGCAAGTGTTTGATCATATTAACCTTTCAAGCTGTCCCTAATATAACTTCCATCCTCAATTTAATCCTCTTCTTGGAGAACCATAATCAGTAATAACAAATCAAATGATTTAATATATGAATCTATGAATGTCCAAATTAAAGTAATCTGAATGTTAATTTGATAGGCAATCTTACAAAAATCATACCTAGATGAGCTCTCTCTCACAGCTTGGATATCCTTGATGGGTGTAGTGGAAGGCACCGTGTGTGCACTTGTGATTGAGTAGCATAATCCTTTAGTGCGATTCATCACATGGACTCTAAATTATTAGTTTTGGTGTACAGTAGGGCTGCACAAAGGACAGGATGGCACTAGACTTCACCCTAACCCAAAATTCGATCTTTTCATGAAAAGGATTGAGTTAGGCAACCTATAGTCCGGTCTTGTCCAGTAATAATCCGAAGATTAATAGGACCGGACTTTGTTCATAGGATTAGGAGACTAGTCTTATTAGTCCAGTACTCACTTAGCTTTTTTTTTCTTCTTTTCTCTATGAGAGGCAATAATCTATTTCAACCTAATAAACTCAATTAAGATGGTAAAAACACTTATAACAACAACAACAATAAATCCATAATAATTTCTAGCAATAAGAAAAAAAAATATTTCTGTTACAATTCAAATGATTTAAATTTATAACTTTAACAAAAACAACACTCAACAAACTTCAACAACATTACATTATAACAACAATTTAGAAACAAACTCAATAAATCTTCATACAATCATCTCCTTAATATCAATTACATTTAAAGTATTTGTCAAAAATAAATTAATTATAATTATAATAAATAAATTAATAGGATTAGACTAGACCAAGTGGTCCGAATACCTAGTCTCTTGTCCAGTCCAACCCAAAGAAATAGTCTAGTCTTTTTAGTCTTTTTGATCCTAAAGGACCAGTGTCTATACGAACCAAACAAGATAAGGACCATTTTGGATTGGACTAGATCAGACAAGATTGGAAGACTTTTGCACAGCCCTAGTGTACAGTGTGAGATAAATTCTTCATTCAAGCACAACTATATATCATGCAGTATCTAAAACTACTTGCTGAGGCATTTTATTATTTATGAGTATGACAATCCGTGCAGGGAGTGATATGCTCAGGGATTGCTTACTATGTTCAAGGACTGATCATGAAGGCAAAAGGGCCTGTTTTTCTAACCCGTAAGCATGATCATTGTGACAATCATGGGCTCTATTGCTCTAGCAGAAAAATCTACCCTGGAAGGTGAAGAAACTGCTGTAAATTTGTTAGTGTTCGGTTTGGCGTTGGAAAGATTTTGATGGAAGCAAATAAACCACATGCATGCTTCCATCAAGACCATGATTTTGGTAGTTTTTAACGTGAAACCAAACATGCTATTATTGTTTATATGAGCTAACTCAAGTTATTGTTGCAGGGTGTTTGGAGCTGTTGTGATCGTGATTGGTGCGTATTTGGTTTTATGGGGTAAAAGTAGAGTCTGAGGAAGTGAAATCAGCAACCGCAACAAATGGCTTCAATTTGTTCACAGAACTCAGAATCTGGAGGGGATGGTTTTCTCTGAGTTTTAGTTCATGCAAGTTTAAAAATATAGAGACTCTCAACAATAAGGCAATGGAGAGAGTGAGAAATTCATCTTCTTGCATTTAGACATCTACATCTATTTTGATCTCTTGACTTTTGTTGATTCCTCCTTGGTATGGATATATTGTAACGTCTAAAATAATGATTATGCATATCCACAAAAAGATTTATTTTTTAAATCTTTAAAAGGAAAGCATTAGTATCTAATTAATATGTAACGATATGGTTGTGAGGCGTATTCGTTTAAGCAATTGAACAGTTTAAAGGTTCAAACTAACAAATTAAATAAACAAGCAGTCCGCTAATGGTGCCTTAAGATTTTATTATATTAATAGGCAGTCCAAGTTGTTTTCTTGCCGTCCATCTAATTCTAGAAACTTCCAATTGATTTGAAGCCAATATATGGGCTTGTTTTGTTTTTTATTTTAAACACAGTTTTTAAAAAATAAAAAAATTATTTGAGGAAGTGTATTGTATTTAATCATTTCTAAAATTGTTTTTTAAAATACAAAAATCTTAAAATTATTTTCAAAATACATTATATTTGATTATTAAAAATTATAACTATCATGAGTCACCATCATTAATTGTCAATGATCATTACTATTAATCGATTTTCGAATTCTAAAATTGCTTTTAAGTTATCATAATCATATGATTTTTTTAAAAAAAATAATTTTTCAAACTGTACTACAAAATAGTTTTTAAAAAACAAAAAATAAGAAACACAATTAAACAGGCTCTATGATCTTGATAGGTAATTCTTTTTCTCTCTGTTTTTTTCCTAGAGAGAGAAAGGGGGTGATTTTCTAGATGAATGGAATTTGGAAGTCAGGTTAGTATGCTGACTTGGATGTGATTATATTCAAAATTAAGGAGATTCGTACTGCTACTTCCTATTTCCCACTTGTCTACCAACTCATTCACACACGCATTTCTCATATATTTGCAAGAATTATACACGAGTATATATATATCACACACATGTACACAAGAGATTTTCATGATAAAACTTGAAGGGAAAAAATTTAATTATTATTATTTTTTCATTTTTGTATTACGCTCTTGTCAAGATTTTCAAAAATTTTACAGTAGTTGTTTAAGATTTTTTTTTTTTTGCAATGATTTATGATAATATGATCATGCATATATCAACAATAATATAAAAAGGGAAAGAATAGATTTTGTTAATTAATTAGTTTCAAAATATTTGTTAAGTATACGACTAAACGCATTTAAATTTAGGATGCATAGTCTAATAAAGCAGGCCATATTATATTAATGATTCATAACATATAAATTAAATAATTGAAAGGAGAGGGAGGAGAATGAGAAAGAGAAGGAAGGTAGAAAGTTGAATGAGATTCATGTATAGAAGATGCATATAACTCATTCTCCTTCCATTTTCATGTATAAAACAACTTTCTAAACTCTCTCATTAATACTATTTTTATTTCTTTCCCCATGTACATATATGATCGTTGATTTGAATTATGTGTCTCAAAACCACAACCTCACGCAAACTTTAAACAATAAAACATTTTGTTGGATCCTGTGTTACTTCTCTCTCCTCTTGGTTCACTTCACTCCACTTCAATTATTATTATTTTTTAGGATTATTCTTGCATGCATCTCATAAGCACGCAATACTTTTATTTGTTCTACCGTAATTGTCCATTAGATAATATTGATTCTTTATTTTAAAAACCTTTATCAATAAAAAAATAATAATATATGAAAAAGCTGTCCATTATATTAAAGTAATATGTTTCTAGTATATGGTCAACTTAAATGTGTTAAAAAAAACGGACAACTAACTTGATAATTAATAAGGGAGTCTAAAAATCAGTAAAAATTATATTACCTCTTCTTTTTTTTGACACTTTTATATTACCTCTTATTTTCAACTTTGTGCATGTAGGGTCTTAATTTCATCCCAAAGTAAACATGTTTCTTACATTCACCTTAACATTCATTTGAGGTTGTTGTGTAGAAAAGCTCAACCGAGAAAAAATTTGGGGGGGGGGGGACCAAACCGAAATGAAAAGTCAATTGAGATGTTAGCTTTGACTCAACTAACCCTAATGGCTTAACAAAAAAGCGTTTGAGCGTGAGAGACTTATCTACGTCCCCACACACACAAAAACACAAATATACACACCAATAATCCTCCTATAAATATTACATACCTTCAAGCCTCCTCAAGTTCCATACTCTCTTGTCTCTCCATACATATCACTTTTTTTCATTCTCGTTCTCACTTATAGCTTTCTTCAATGAAGAGAGAAAGATCATCGGATCATCAAGTCGTTGATGACCGCAGCATCGCCATGGCCAACTACCTGATGTTGCTTTCCGAAGCAGCTGCTTCCTTCGACTCCGCCACCGCCTTCTCCTCCTCCTCTTCTTCATCCGCCTCCACACGTGTCTTCGTCTGCAAGACCTGCAACCGCCAGTTCTCGTCCTTCCAGGCGCTCGGCGGCCACCGCGCCAGCCACAGGAAGCCCAGGACAATGATGACCGGAGCCTCCGGTGAAGATAGCAACAGCGACGATGTTCTTCATGCTTCGACGTCACTGGCTAAGCCTAAAACTCACGAGTGCTCCATCTGTGGATTGGAGTTCGCCATAGGTCAGGCTTTGGGCGGTCACATGAGGAGACACAGAGCTCCAACATCTCATAATAACAATAAGAACCCATTATCCTCATCAAGTTTAGAGTTTGATGATTCGGATTTGGAATCGAAGAAGAAGAGCAAGAGGGTTCTGTTTCTGGACTTGAACTTGACGCCGCTTGAGAACGATTTGGAGTTGTTAGGGATAGGAAAAGCAACGCCTTTGGTAGTTACTCTTTAATTATCTCTTATTCTTATTCATCTGAATGTATATCATATAGGCATTTCAGTAATTATTAGTTCCTTTTTAATTTCTTTCTTTTATGTGTGTACTGTTGTAAATTTCTTCATTTCTTCATCTGGTTTATGAGATCGACCATCCTGTTTTATTTTGAATATCAGATTTAGATTCACACGATGATATATTTATCTCAAAGGCTATATATATATATATATATCACATATAGTTTTATATCAAAAAGAAAATTAGATGAAATAATATATTGTCCGTGATGTTTCTGATCAGAAGCTTCATTATCCTAATTAAGTAATTGATTTCATTTGACTTATATAAACATAAATTAATTACTATAAATCTATAATGGTCCATCTCTAATATTATTTATCCGTAGGCCAACGTACAATTCGGCCTTAACAATACATCACATCCAATAATGTCAGCAAAACTTTTTTAATTTATCTCTATATATAGACATATAACAAGTGTGTTCATTTTAATTTTTATCAAAATAATCCCTATTTTCTCACAAAGACCTCTTGAATATTACTGTAATAAAACCTTTATCTTAAATTGTAATTCAGGCTCATCTCTATCTTTTTCATTTTGGACATTTGACGAGTTATTCCGTGCAATCATCTAAATGTTTCAACGCTTATATGAAATATAGAGTACTTAATTTTCATCATTGGATTGATTTTTGATTTAGTTCTTGTATTTTACATTTTTCTAGAACAATATACCTTTAGATTTTTTTTTTTTGCCAAATATATTAAGCTACATTTAGGTGGTTGTTTTAATATATATTATATATATATATAAGAATCAAATTGGAATAACGAAACCTTAATTCCTCAATACGTCTTGCTGATCAACTTGATCTCTTAAATTAATTTTTATCAATTAGGCTCATTAAGTTTTCCTCAATTATTAATTTGATACTTATTAATTGTTTAAATAGAATAACACTATTAAAATCTACTTACATGGATAACAAAATATTAATGGAAGTTATAAAAACAAATTTAATTATTATTTAGATAAAAAAGACTTAGAAATTAAAAAATAAAAGTTACATATGCATGTAAATTATTAAAATACTTTACACATTATATTAATTGGAGTAAATTTGTGTTTTAAAATTTAAAGGAAATAATTTTTTCTTCCATGAATATACACTCTGGATGACGCTTGAGTATGAGGTTTTAGGTTCGAATGCCGAAAACACATTTTTAGAAGAATTATTCCAATACAATTGTCGAATCAAGTTGATTCAAATAGTGATCATACCTTATAGAATAATTGGATACACAAAGCAATTTCTGACTTAAGCAAGTACTTGAGCGTGATGCTGGAAGCAGGATATTGAAACAGTGGTTGGACCAATTAGAATATTATATGGATGAAGGATATATCTGTGACTGGCCCAAGTTACACGTATGAAATTGCTATGTAATTGTATAAATTAGTCTTGTTGATATCTCTAACTGAATGACGTCACTTAACCATCAAGATCAGTTCGATCCTTGTACGAAAATCACTAGTTTGATATTAAAATAAAAAGAGATTAAGTTGGATGATTATTTGGTTTACCTGATAGGGTCATAGAGTCTAGAAGGATTAGAATTACTTTCCAATAAATATCAATGCCGTGTTCTTAATTCATAAACACTTTGAATCTTATCTTTTTAATTCAGACTGCCATTTACATATACGTATCCGTCAATTTAAATACAATAGCCATGTGGCTTCTTATCGTTCAAACTACTTAATTTCCAAATTTCCACCCAGGAATTCTACACATACAATTTAATTTGGGTAGTTAATCTGTATATATTAGAAAGATATCGTGGTTTTGGTTTATATGCCTTTTTATTTCTTATGCTCATTTTTTCTTAAGAAATTAAAAGACAATTAGTTTTGTCAACGAAGTGTCAGTTAAGTAGGAAAAGTGAGTTGCAATTTTATGTGGCTTTAGTTAGTTGAGAGGTTGAGGGTCACCAATTAGAAGGTGGGACAAGTTATGAGGTAATATATGACACTTTTAATTATTTTTGTAACGATTAAGAAAAGTAACTAAAAATTGGTTATAGCATTGAAATGAAAAAAAAATTATAATTATATATTTTCTAAAATTACCTCTCTATTAATTAATCCATCTTGATTATCTATAATTTCTTTCTTATAGAGTATAACCTTTCTATAAAGTACGGTTATATAGTAATAGAATTTGTGAAAAGAAGAATTTAATGATAAAGTCTATATTTTATTTAGACACTAATTAACGGTAATAATGTTGTATATTTTAAAACAAAGGGAGTACATAGAAACTTGGGAGAGAAAAACGAAGTTGCTTTCCATTAATGTAATGTAACCATAAGAAAATGACACACCTCATAAATTGACTTCTTATAATTAAGCTTTATATTGATATAATAATATTGAGGGACTGTTCGTTCAAAAAAAAAAATATTGAGGGACTGGATTATCAGAGTTGCAAAGTCAAACATGGTTTTAGATAGCTTATCAAGTTTTGTTTTGATCCCAAAAAAAAAACCCTAGACTTTTGTAGTCCATTTACTGTTTGTTGTAAAGGTAATTGTATTTTATTCATTCTGGTTAGAGAGGATATATGTCACGTAATTGTTAGAGAAATTTCATGAAAGATTACATGACATTTATTTCTCCAAGAGCCAGCAAGAGAGTAGTGGAGGAAGAAAAGGCCTTTCTGGGATGTTTCCACAATCTAGAAAGAAATTGAGAAATCAAGAATAACGTGTATTATATTTATAATTTAATTACTTTAGAGCCATGCTTTGCATACCAAGTCTAAAAAGTATAGAACATTAAATGAAAATTCAAACTGAACCAGTCAATTCAACCCATCAATCAGTGACCGGGTCTCTTTTTTAATTTGGATTTCTACCTAAACCAGCCAACCATTGACCCGGTGTGACTAAGCTAACCCGAGGTCAACCTGGCTAACCGGTAGCAGGGTTGCTGGGTTAGCCAGGTCACTTTTTTTTTAATTGTAAAAACTAAATAAAAAGCAAAAAATTCAACTTAAAAATTAAAAAGCAAAGCAATGGAGGGCAAGATAATTAAACTAGATTTCACTGTCTGTAGTTTGAACTTTTAATAGAGAGTCTTAATTGTAAGCTCAAACTTAAAGATTCAATATTCTTTTAAATTAATTGTGCCTTAATTGTTTTAATCTTTTATTGTTTGCTATTATTCATTTGTCTGATTGTTGCTTAACATTTATGAATTTTGATTGTCATTGTTAAATTAATTTAGGTTATGATAATTAGTTTTGGACTTTTTAATGATTGAAGAACTATAAATTGTAATTATAAGAATAAATATTTAGAAAGTGGTATTTTATTATTATTAGATTGTTGGGTGGTTGTAATTCTATAATTATTGTTGTATTTATCATGTATTAGAGATTAATCATTTTCATAATTAATATATTTTTATTTAAATTGTATTATTTTAATCATGATCATTTGCCCTCCGGGTTAACCCCGGGTTCAACTCAAGTTAAATAACTAACCTGTAATTCATTAGTTTGACCAGTTCAATGATCAATTTAGTTTTCAATATCTTGGTAATGGAGACTTTCTTTTTTGGAATGGGCGCTTCTTAAAAAAAAAATATTCTTGCTATATATATCATCTTACGTGATGAAAAAGAAAAGGAAAAGAAACAAAAGCCAAAATGAGATTGGCGAGAGCGAAATTGCAGAGGGTGATGAGGTTAATTGCACGCCTTATTGACGACGGAGACAAATTGAGATTAATTTTTGTATGAAGAGAGAGATTCATCATTCAAAGGTAAACGTTTCCAGAAATACATTAGTAGATATCTCATATCTTATCACACCACACAAGAGGCACCTATTACCTAATACTTTATCATACTTGAACATGCATCCATCTCATCTTTGCACACGCGCATCACAATATTGAAATTCAAATTAACTCGAGTGGAATTTAATCACAATTTTAATTATTTATTAATTCTTAAACTCGTGTCTTAATGACACTACAATAATAACCGATATAAATTCAAGTAATTTGCTGTGTGCGTGTGGATGTATGCATTTTGAAGTTGTACAAAGTCACAAGTCATAGGCTGCTTTTTGTAGACTGGCTGGTCAATAATATCGAAGCATACAAGTTGACGTCATACTCATGTTTCACACAAACCCACAGTTCATACACAACATATACGCCACTTCCCAAATTTTATAATATTAATTAATTACTTATATTCTTCTACCATAGAAATTAAAACACAATATATTATGTATGGAAATGAATATATATATTTAGTCGTCGTGATTAATTCTCACTCGTGTAGCTACGTTCATACATGTATGCTGGTTTATTCTGCGAGCAAAGGGGAATATGCTATAATGTAGTTTTGAAGTAAGAGGGTGATGACGCCAATTGTGAGGGTAAGTATAATAAATATATATTGAGCAACTTGGAATACCAAAAAAGTTGAATCTAATTATAAACATGAAGCAAGTTGAGGAGTAACTGCTGCTGACTGCATTAAAATGACTAAAAGGTACTTCTTATGCACACCATGAACTTCATCACCTCTCACCAAGTCTCATGCCTTCATTATTTCATTCCCCCACCTAATCTTTGAATTTTTTTAACCATAATTATGGGTACGGGTGTGGCACCTCCTTTTTTATTGTAGGGATGAGGAGTGGCCACTTAAAATGGAAGTAACACACATATCTTAACTCAAAACTTCAACCTTAAATTTATAAATTATATTTTATTATATACTCTTAGTTATTACATTCAACTTCATCTAATGTGATATTTTTTACATCAATTTGATTCTACTAACATTTAGATAATTTAACAAATAAAATATGTAAATTTTTTAAATAGATGGAAAAATTTTATGAGATGAGCATGACATCAAAATGTGCTAGCCAAAATGATTTAAAAAAAAAATAAAACTCCTCATTTAGAATGGTTTTCTTTTAAAAAAAAAATGAAAAGTAGTATTAGGAAAGTCAAAGTTTGTGATTGGGAGTGGGCGTGCGGCATGAAGAAACAAATGGCCGACGTAACGGAAGACGTTAGGATGACAAGACATTCGCCTCCATTTCTTAGCTTGGCTGCTTCTGAGGTCTTCCATTTTGTAGTTAT